CCTTTCGGGCCAGCATCTGCGCCCAGGCCACCTCCAAGGGGGCCTTCTGGACCCGGCAGCCGAGATGACGCCCGCGGTAGGCCGCCTGCCGCGCCTCCGGGACCGAGTGCAACAAGCATAGGAAAGACTCGGCCCCTCGGAACCACTCCCCCGCCGCCTGCTGCAGGGAGGGCGGAGGCTGGCCAGGCTCCCAAGACCACTCAGGGGCCCAGCCGCTGGTGTCGCCCCAGACGTAGGCCTCGTCCTTCTGCGGGATCTTGAAGCCCTTGATGGGGACCTTCTGCCACGCTAGCGCGCGACCCGCTAGACCGCGCAGCTGCACCTCCACCATGGCGTGAGGCCCGCGCGGCGTGTCCAGCCAGGCGCGCGCCGGCTGCACGAAAGGCGCCAGCACCTTGCTGGCAAGGAAGAAGTCGTATCGCTTGTCATTGATGGTGGGCTGGTCGGGCTCCAGGACCGCCGCCTCGAGGTCGGAGACCCAAGCAAACTCCGCGAAGTCGCCCGCGTCGACATTCCAGTCGCCACCGAGCAGGAACGGCCTCTGCTGGGCGGCCAGCGCCTCGCCCAGCTCCCCGAGGATGGTCAGATTGGGCTCCGCGAGGCCGACGCCGTCGACCAAGTAGACCGAACCCACGATCAGGGAGAGGCCGTCCAGCTCAACCTGCTGCAAGGCGATTCTGTGCGCGCCCTCGTCGAACCTCCATTCGACCGCACACGATCCCCAGCGAGCCGAGGCCAACGAGGCAACGCCCGCCGAAGTATCCAGTGGCCCGTCTCCCGTCGAAAGGGCCTCCACCGCATGCATGCGGAATCCGGCCTTCCAGGCCCAGGCGCGCGGCCCCTCAAGGGCCCGCTCGCGCTGCTGGTGCTCCTGGAACATCACGACGTCGGGAGCGGCGCCCTTGTCGTGCTGGAGCCACTCGAGTAGCTCCCGCTCAGAACTCCAAGTGTTCCCGTTGTATGTGACCACCCGCAGCGGCGGGGCCACGGCAGACGCGCCAGTTTTTCGAGCTGCGTCAAGCCGTGGCGACGAGAAGGGCCCTTCCATCCTCACCAGGGGTCGGGACACGCACGCCCTACCCACGCCCTGGCCCTTTCCCAGTGGTCCGGGAGCAGGCCCGCTTGGGCAAAGGCGCCCCCAACAGTTCCTCCATCTGCTTGCGCTTGGCGGCGTCGAGGTTGGACACGGCCTCGGCGAGGCCAGCGATGTCGTCGCCCATGAGGTCGTCGTCGACGTCGTCCTCGCCAGCGCCGTCGTCGCCAGCAACAGGAGGAGCAGCAGCGTCGGCAGCACCCGAAGCAGCCGCGGCATCGAGCTGCTCCCCGAGGAGGCCGACCAGGCCCCCTGCGGCTCCCAGGGAGCTCGGGGGGAAGCTCCAGCCCTTCCAAGGCTTTGACGGCCTGCTGGGCGATGGCGAGCTTGGCGACGTCCGCGCCGGGGGCCAAGCTGCCTGGCGGCAGCCCCACTTGCTCGGCCACGCGCGCCGACTCCAGGTCAGCCTTGGCCGTCGCAAGGGCCAACCGGGCCTCCTCCTCGGCGCACACGGCCTCGGACAGCGCCGCGTTGGCCGCCTCCAGCGCCTCTTCAGCATCCCGGCGTTTCTGGAGGCTGCGCTCGAACTTCTCGGAGGCCCGCTTTTCTCTCCACATCGCCCGCTGCACCAGCTGATGATGCGCAGCAGGCTTTTTGGGGCTCAGGAGGGGGCTCCTCCTCGGACAGGGCGGCGCGCTGCTCGTCAGAGAGCGCGATGCCGCGGGCCGCCAGTCCAGCAACCAGATCGGCCGCCGACACAGCAAGGTCCTCACCGTCGTCCTTCCGCTTGGGCTCCGAGACCTTCGGCTTGGCGGCCGGCTTGGCCTCGGCGCCAGGCGCACGGGCCCCCCAGGCCGCCTGCAGCGCGCGCTGGCGGACCGCCACCGGCGCTGCCCCACCGCAGACACGGCAGGCGGTACGGTTCGCCCAGTTGTGCGCCTCCCCGCACGGGCACCCCCACAGCAGGGAGCGAGGCCCGGGTAGCAGCTCGCCGACCGGCCGCTGCCAACCTCCACCGCCGCCGCCGCCCCGCGGGCCGCCGCCGCCGCCGCCGCCACCGCCGCCCCCGGTGTGCCATGGCGGGGTGTGGTCCCGCGCCCCAACACCAGGCTGCCGCCGCCCACGCGCCCCTTGGCGCTGCGAGCGGGCGCCGAGCCGCGGGCGCCGGCAGGCGGTGCCATCGCACAACGGCGGTCGTGAGATCCCAGATTGGCTCGCAAGCACGAGCCGCTCTGAAGTACGTGCTTGCAATGCTCCCTGGAGCACAGAACGGCTAGGAGGAGGAGGAGGAGGAGGAGGAGGAGGAGGAGGAGGAGGAGGAGGAGGAGGAGGAGGAGGAGGAGGAGGAGGAGGAGGAGGAGGAGAGAGAAGGGAGGAAAAAGGCGAGGGAAAAGGAGGGGGAGAGGAGGGGAAGAGGAGAGAACTGGGATGGGGAGGGAAGAGGATGACGACGAGCATGAGAACGAGACGGCCGATCGATACACTTGTGATCAGTGTCGACGGAGGGGGAGAGAGCGAGAGATAGAGGCAGGCAGGCAGGCCATCAGGCAGAAAGACGGACAGAAAGAGAGGCGCTCCGCACGGACCAAGCGAGCCTCCGCACCTCCATGCGCCTCATCGCGCCTCGCTCGGGGGACGGGACGGGCACCGCATGGGCCAATTCCATCGACAGCCCTCTCGTTTCAACCCGCCCTCCTCTATCCGCCGCCTCGTTCCTACCTTTCTTCGTCATTCATCCTTCCTCTTGCTCCTGTCTCGTCCTCTGTTGTACTTCCCCACTCCTCCTTGCTACTGGTCCTTCCTCCCTCGCGACTCCTCCTCCTCCTCCTCCTCCTCCTCCTCCTCCTCCTCCTCCTCCTCCTCCTCCTTATCCATTTCCTCCTGCTCCTCTGTCGTCTCCTCTGCCTCGTCTCCAGCTCCTCCTCCTCCTCATCATCATTCTCCTCCTCCCTGCATATCCTCCTCCTCCCCCCCTCCTCTTCCTCATCTGCCTGCTCCTCAGTAAGCTCTTCCGCCTCCTCCTCCACCTCCTCCTTCTCCTCCTTCTTCTCCCGCTCCTCACCTCGCGTTCCTCTTCCTCCCCACCCTGATTACCTTAATCCCCCGTCAATCCGCCTCCCCATGCCCCCTCATCGTGCTGTCGCTTATCCTTATCCGTATCCTTCTCGCCACGGTCCTTCGCCTCCGCCTTGATAGTGGAGGGTGCACGCCAGGAGGGGGGACTCTCCTGAGATCTCGCTCCCCTCTCCTCGGCCCTCTTCGCGGTTACGGGAGGAAGATAAGAGTGTTGGAGAGGGGGGGGGTTGAAGGGGAAGGCATCGAAGGACTGCGTTCAGAACAGGTTCTTCCTCGCGCTGACCTCTCCATCAACCACACAAAGAGAAGGTCAGACAAATCTGGCCGCCGAAACGGCCTCCGAAGCCGCAGGGGGCGGAGGGCAGGAGGGGGGGGGGAGTGGGTGGGGGGGGGAAGGCCGAGAAGGAGGAGAGGGACGGCGGGAGAAAGAGAGAGAGAGAGAGATAGAGAAGGCCGGAGGGGGGAGCACGAGGGACTCTGGACTCATGCTTCAGATGCCCGCGAAACCCATCCCAACGACGGGATCAGCGCCTCGGGCGTGCACGGCGCCGAGATGGCATGCAGACCAACGAGCCCGCCAGAGCGGGCGTGGGGAAGAAGACAGGCGAGCGAAGACCATTGACATCCTGGCTCCGAGGGCACCGAACGCCACCGCCTTGAGGAGGGATAGATCGGCACACGCTGCTGGATGGGGAGGAGGGAGATAGGGGGCGACCAGGTGACAAGGTGTCTCCAGGTGAAGACGCCTGGAACAGGGGCGGGAGTACGCAAGCGCGGCGCCCGGGCCGGCAAGCACGCTCGCCGTGGTGAGCCGACGCGGCATGCCCTCCACAACCCCCACGCCCTCGCCCGTCTGGCGTGCCCTCGCCCTTGCCCTTGCCTCTGCACTACGCCCGCCTCCACCCCGCGCCCGCCTCCACCCCGCGCTCGCCTTCACGCTGCGCCCGCCTCCGTCCGCGCCCGCCTCGCCTCCACGCCGCGCTCGCAGCCACTCCGCGCGCTCGCGTCTCCGCCCTGCCGCTCGCCTCTCTGTCCGCTGCCCGCCCCCCCTGGAGGAGCAACTTTGCTCCGCTGCGGGAGGAGGTGGCGGGAGGGCGGGGGGGGGAGAGGGAAGAGGGGCGGCGGGAAGCTGAGGAGGAGAACCGAGGAGGGAGTAAGGAGTGATAGGGAGACGAGAGGCAGGGATGCGTGGACACCAGCGCCGTGCAAGACAGACGCTGCTGTGCATGCAAGCAGCTGGCGCAGGCTTGGTGTGCGCATGACGGGTGTGGTAGAAGCAAGGGGCGCATACAAGAAGTTCATGCAGGATGGAATGGCGCAGCATGATGAGTATGATCACCGCGTGGTATGATAAGAAACACGTACTGCAACATCCAGGGCAGACGACGCAACACCTACCAGAGAACGGCAGCGTGAGTATCATACTCCTCCACATGATCCTTTCTCCCTTCTACATCCTCCTCCTCCTCCTCCTCCTCCTCCTCCTCCTCCTCCCCGCATCGGCCAGAGCAGCTGCGCCAGTGATTTTTCGGCCCAGTCAAAACCACCGACAGGACACCAAGATCACATCAAACCTGCCTCACCAGCCCTCTGTTGGCAGGTGGCTTGACGGACCAGCTCCTCCAAAGCAATTATTCGGAGCGCGGCTTGCCCCGCCCCCTACCCCTTTTCCCCTCACCAAGGGCCTGGACCGAGGAGGCCGCGAGGCGATAGAGCGATCGAGGTTGCCGTGAATGGCTCCACCATGGCCTAGATAGCCCAGCATGGTCCCCAAGATGTCACAGGGCAGGTCGCGCTGGCACATATGACCTCCAGCATGTTCCCACGAGGCCCACGAGAGACACCCAAAAGGCCTCTGCGAGAAACAAGCGTTATTCAAGGTTCAAGTTTTTTCCCCAATGCGAGCGCTTTCTTATGCGGCGTTTCGACCTTGGGCGGAAGGGGGGGAAGGCCTGGCCCTTGACCTTCGCTTCTTGCGACTGCTCGCCACAGTGCGTCCTGTGGGGGGACTCCACCCGCGTGAAGCAGGCGACAAAAACGGCCGAGATCTACTCCATGGGGGGGGGTGCGAGGGCCCGCGCCCATCGGCAAACGGAAGTGGACAAGAGAACGGTCACAGCGGGGCCTTGCCTGAAGAGCCCTCCCGTGTGCTTCCAGAGCCTGGGGGGGCCGGCCTGGCCTGGCCTCCCTGGCCTCCCTCGGGCGTCCTCGGGGCTGCCCGGCCTTCCTCCCGGTTTGCCCGGGTTGCCTGGCGGTCGGGGTTGCCCTGGTGCCCAGTTGGCCAGTCAGTGCAAAGCAAGGCAGTGCGACGAGAAGCAGAGCACTGCCATGCGGACCAAAGCAAGGCAGTGCCTCACGGCGCAAGGCGGTGCAGCGCAACGCAGAGCAGCGCCAAGCAGTGCTGCTGCGTTCTGCTGCCGTCTGCTGCTGCCTGCTGCAAACGATTACTTCTGGCGCTATAGATGCAGCAAGCGGAGGGCATCGGGATACCTCTGAGGGCCCTCCTGGGACGCCATGTGTTACATCGATGCTGTGTTGCTGCTCCATGTATCAGCATTCCTTGCTCTTGCCGCTCGCCCTCGCGACAGGCAACAACATTTCTAACTCTTCTCGTGCACGTTCACTGTGAGGAGATCTGCGATGAGGGTCAGCCCTGATAGCCCTTCGGAAATGAGCGATAGCACCATCCATATCATCGAAATCGAGCGTGGTACCCAACTCTACGTTGGCCTCGATGTGGTTTGGGTCAACTTCGAGTGCCGCCTGGAGTGCTGCTAGGGAGCCTTCCCTATTGCCTGCTTCCATGAACGCTCTGCCCAGCGCGACGTGAGCTTGGACAAATCTGGGATCAGCAGCGATTGCTCTCTGAAGCAGTGATATGGCCTCGTCAACATTGTCCTTGCTATGACCGCTTTCGTACGCAAACATGTTTTCCCACAGTGTATCCTGACCTAGCAAGCATTGGGCCAGATTGCAAAGAGGAAGAGGGGCTGTCGGGGAAGAAGCAATGGCTGCACGATATGCTGACCTCTCACCTGCGGCATCACCAGTACGAGATAACGCGTAACCAAGGTTATTTTGGACTGTCGCATTGCACGGGTCGATCGCAACTGCCTCTTCAAGAGCACGTACAGACACGCTGAGCACCGCTCGGGCTGCCTCGGACTCTGGCGACAAGCGCGCGTGTTGGACGAACAGCGCGCACGCATCATCCAAAAAAGACTGCACGCTCCGAAGGGATGAGCTGGGCTTGCGGCAGAGAGGGCAAAGCTCCATTGCCCCGTGGCGGCGGAGTGCTTTAATGCAGTCTGCGTGGAACCGATGAGAACATGTGAGAGTCTGGGTCGGCTCCGAGGTATCGAGACTATTGAGGCAAACTGCACAATCGTCGCCAGTGGTGCTGGCAATGCGCTCGAGATGTTCTGGCTTGAGGCCTAAACGCATGGCAGACGATGCTTCCCCATCGAGTCGAACTTCCCACCGCCCTCTTCCAGGCACGTAGCGCAGGGCCGTCGCTAAGCGGCCATTCAGCTCACTGCGACCCACAAGGCCAACGACACGAACTTGGCAACTTGGAGCCAGCATGTTCCTCGCCGACCCGAAGCCTACAGCCAAAATGTGAAGCCAGAGGCTGAGGCAACATGGCTGGAGCCCACGTGAATGTTTGAGCCAATATAACTACGGAGGGCCCCTTTGGTGCGTCTTGAGGCCCTCCTGCGCTGTCCGGGCTCTCTCTCTCTCTCTCTCCCTCTCTCTCTTAGGACCCGCATGGGCCTGATTGATATGGCAGACCGGCTGGACGTCAGCTAAACCGTAATGATATGAGTATGTTGTGCATCACGTACCAGGGGCGGAATGCCCGACACAACATTTCAAATTCCACGGAGAGCACCACAAGACTGGTCGATACAACAGTCATCGAATGCCGCGCACTGCACTGCAGATCACTATCCTATCATACATTGTACCGCTGTACTGTAAGCAGATATGCTGTTCTATGATGTCCAGAACTGGAATGTTCTGCTCTACGACACGCCAACATGCACGATGCTATACTACCAGGTGCTACAGTACCCTCTTACATGCAAGCATGCCATATCATAGACTACGAAGTGCCACGCACTGTATGGCACGCAGTGGCATGCTGTACTGTCATACACTAAATGGCCCTATACCACACCATGCTGCAAGACCAGGTGCTCCACTGCACGGCACTAACCCGTACTATATGATGATTTGCTAAATGCTAACAATTATGCAGTATGCTCTGCTGCAATATGCGATCATATGCGAATGGATATCATACTGCGCCTCTGATGCCCTCAACTACACTATGCCATACGACACAACCAGAGGCAACGGAAGACAACGGGGGGCAGCGGGGGGCAACG